TTATATATTCTTACCGGCTTGCAGAACTGGTACTTTTAGAATCTTTACATCGAAGTCTAACTTTGTATTTATTTGGAGTGTGTCGGTATAGCTGAGTAATCCGGCTATATAATGCAACGCGTAACCAAGTTGCTTCCCATATTGATACGTTAGTTCCAACCACCAACAGAATTGAGAACATGTTCCAAACACCTCACCTCTGAGACCTCAAATCGCCGATAACACCCAACCAAACCCCCAATACACCCCCGGCACCAGAACCAACCTCAAAATCAGATAAACAATAACTCCGGATCCCGCAGATAACCACCAGCCTTGAATCCATATATATATCCCCCTTGACATCAAAATGACCAACCACCACCACCACCATTGCTATTATGCCTCCACAATGACACAAAGGACCATGGTATCAAGTTCCAACCCATTCCTCAACAACATCCGATATGGTGTAGTGGCTAACATCGCCGTCTCTCACACGGCAGCCGGGGGTTCGATTCCCCCTATCGGAGTGTGATCAGATCAGTCTCCCCGACCCAGAATCCGTTTTTGTTTTTAGGTTTATTTTCTTGCTTATGCTCTATGCGCTAACGTAATCGGTAAGCGAACGGATCAGGCAAGCCAACGGGTCATCTTGTAATCTATATAAAAAACACATTTTTATTTTCTTATATTTCAACAACTAGAAGATTTAAAGACTTCTTATATAAGAATACTATCATATAAGCTCTAAGACATCTAGATACCTAAGACTATATACTTTTTAGCTATTAATTACATTGAAAACCAGCTATATAGTCTAATACCAGTTTCTGTACTGCTACCTTGGTAAATAAAAGGTTTTATCTTATCTTTTTAACATATATAGTCTTAATATAACATTAAAATGTTAAATCTAAAGTTTTACTTTTACATTCTCGGAAATAGTAGAGATATTTATATCTTAAAAAGCGTCTTTTATATGGGATTACAGGATGATCCGTTGGCTTGCCTGATCCGTTCGCTTACCGATTACGTTATTGGCTGTAGTAGCATGGAAAATCGCGGAGCGATCGGTTGGTAGCCAGCTAGTAAAAGATAGGAGTTGGGGAGATAGTGCCGTTAAAAGTATGTCTTATGAACCCAGTGTAGTCTAATACCTGGAGCAAGCGAGGCAAGTGAATAACCCCCAATACGTCGCGATTGCGCTGTCGCCCAGATCGAATTACAATTGGATGAGTGTCTGGCCGTGACAGTCGGCTACCGATTACTCCATACATTAGCTTCCAGTCCCGGTACCCGGGGCCAAGTATCACGGATGCACATGCTTGGTGGTTTGTTTGCAGCTGCTGCACCTCCCGCCGCTGCAACAGACCAGACCGTATATAACGTCTCTCGTATTCCCTCGCAGGCACTAATGCCGATAGCCCAGCCGCGCGGCCGACTGGCGTATAGGCTGCATGACTGCCGCTGGATCCTATCACCGTCTCAATGAAGCTTTATCAGACATGGATCTATCCTGACACAAATAGTGCCGTTTCGGGATTAATTTCAGATAGGTACATTTTCTCCAATTATCAGTATGCAAAGGAAAAAAGCTACACACTATCTAAAAACCAGCTATTGCATGTCAAACTGGAGATACAGAACTTTTGTGATAGAACACACAGAAAACAGAAATTAACGCATACCCACAAACCGGGGTGTGACCGATGACCCCTGATCCCAAGGAACCAAGGTGTCTCCTATATGGTTAAAACACGCAACATAAAGAGTCTATCGTGATATCGACGAACGCCGCCCGTACCGAATTACGAAAGGGAAAAAGCCGGATAATCATGCGCAGGCAAGGACGAAAGGGAAAGCAGGTCTACCAGTGTGAAAAGATACAAGCTCAGTGACTGAACTGGGCGTCAGGAACAGTTTACCAACGACGGGTGCCGCCGAGGGGAGCGGCGTTGGACGCGGTGTAGTTACCACCACGGCCACGGCCACGGCCACCCCAGCGACCGTGGCCACCGTGGTGACCGCCGCCGCCGCTGTAGCGAACCATCTCAGCAAGACGGGGATCGATCTGCTGCTTAGCCTCAGTGAGAATGGTGACCAAGTCACGAGCCTGCTTAGAGTCTGCAAGAAATGGGTCAGCGCAAGTACATCAAGGAGACGGTTAGAGGCCAACTTACTTTCAGTGGTAAAGAAGGTGACAGCAGTTCCCTTGTTTCCGGCACGACCAGTACGACCAATGCGGTGAACGTAGTCCTCGGAGTTGTTGGGGTAGTCATAGTTCAGCACATGGGTGATGTCGCGAACATCTTTGAGAAAACATGTAACGTTAGCAAACAGAGCATTAGTCAAGCGAGCAACGTGGCCGAGGAGGTGCCCATTCCCAGTCGTGTGAGACTTGATGCATCACTCTCTCTTCTTTCGGGACTTTCATCGAAGATCCGTAGTGGACGAGTCCAAGGGGTGGCAAAATCGCGGTCCTAGAGCAACCTTGGAATGCAGCGTTCAATAGGTCGGTAGAGAAAGAACCCCAACTCTCTACCAACCGAGATCACAAGTTGTAGACGGGTGAATCAGAACAGAGATACTAGTAACATCTGCTACACTGCACTGTGGGTCCAAGGTTCTCCTGGCTTGAGAACCATTTCAGGAGACCCGACATAGCCTGGACGAGTCATTTAAACACCAATGTAGGGTGGAAGAGAGTCGAGCACCGTGCCATTGTCACACAACCTCAATCGGGTGGTGCCTTGTAGGCGACAAAGGAAGGGGAGGGGAGGGGGAGGGGGGGAGTTTGCAATATCATCATACCAATACCACGGGAAGCCACGTCGGTAGCCACCATGATTGGGCTCTTGCCCGTCTTGAATTCGTTCAAAACCCAATCTCTTTCTTGCTGTTGTTTGTCACCGTGAATGGCTGGAACACAAATGTTAGCTGATGTTTCAGTAGGAAGAAGAGTCAAGAAAACTTACAGAGGGCGGGCCATCCGTCCTGGCGGAGGAAGCGGGTGATCTCGTCAGCGATGCGCTTGGTACCAGTGAAGATCAAGCACTTGTTGCCGCGGTTCTCCATGATTTTCTCAAGGTGCTTGATCATGCGGTCACGCTTCTCAAACTCGGAAACAACCTCGACGATCTGAGTGATACGGTGGTTGGCAGAGAGGTCCATGGAACCGATGTTGACCTGAATGTAGTCGTTGAGGAAGTCAGATGCAAGCTGACGGACCTCCTTGGGCCAAGTGGCGGACCACATGCAAGTCTGACGGTCAGGGCGAATCTGAGAGATGATCTTGCGGATCTGAGGCTCGAAACCCATGTCCAGCATGCGATCCGCCTCGTCCAGAACGAGATAAGTGACACGACGAAGGTTGGTGCGGCCAGCCTCGAGCATGTCAATCAGACGACCGGGAGTGGCAATGCAGACCTCAACACCACGGCTAAGGTCGCGGATCTGAGGGCCCTTGGGCACACCACCGTAGACACAGGTGTTGCGAATACGGGAGGACTTGCCGAACTTGGAGATTTCGGCCTGGATCTGAACCGCCAACTCACGGGTGGGGGCAAGGATGAGGACAATGGGTCCGTCACCAGGGGCGAGCAGAGGCTGGGCGTTGATGTGGACGATAGCGGGCAGACAGTAGGTCAGGGTCTTTCCGGAACCAGTCTCGGCAATACCGACAACATCACGACCAGAGAGGGCCATAGGCCAACCCTGAGACTGAATGGCGGTGGGGCGATCGAAGCCCTGGGCCTTGACCTCGCTCAGGACGTACTGGGGGAAGCCAGCCTCGTCGAAGGTCTCAACGGGGCGAGGGACGTTCTTGCCCTGGACAGCCATCTCCTTGCTCTTGCGGAACTCGTCGACTTCGCGCTGGGAGCGAGCAGCAACATCGGGGTGCTCCTTGTAGAAGGACTTCTCGAACTTGGGAAGGGAGTCCATGTCTAATAAAATCATATAAGTGATTGCAAAGGGACGGAAGTGGAACCGGCGAACTTACCCCATTCTTGCTTCTTCAAGCCAGCGCCGAGGTTGGACATTCTGTCACCACCACCAGCGCCTCCACGGCCACCACCGTAACCACCACCGCCATAGCCACCGCCGCCATAGCCACCACCACCACCTCCGTAGCCACCACCACCACCGCTGTAGCCGCCGCCGTTACCGTAGCCACCACCGCCGCCGCCGCGGGAGCTGCTGAGATGTTAACTATTGCTGACCTAGAAGGGAACAACACAAGGAATCCCAATAATGACATACCGGTAAGAATCACGCTGGTAGCCGCCGCCACCGCCGCCGCCGCCGTTGTAGGAAGACATGCTGAGGTTCTTGTTGTGTTAATTTGAAGTTTTTAGAATTGGAAAGCAGAGTAAGCCAAACAAGGAAACGGTGAGAAAGAGAGAAACGACTGAAGATAAGATCAGACGATGCGACACACCCTCTAGGAGACGAGAGGATATGACAAAAGAAGGTGATAAGGAGTAAGAGACAGATAGGAGGGAAAGAGAGATGAGAAAAGAGATGTGTTATATGATGGGGTGAAAGAAGATTGAGGATGGGAGGAGGGAAGGAGGAGGAAGAAAAAGAAGAAAAGGAAGGCGACTTGGGGGGGAGGGAAAGGCGGGATCTTTCTATGGAAGAAAAAAAAGAGAAAGACTGGAGGCAAAACACCGCCTGATCGGGCATAGCGTAGAGGCAACTAACACCGCCTTTTTTTTTTTTTAACTGGCATTCTGACTAATTGGTCCATTGAGGCTGGGTACAGAGTACTTTTAGTGACTTTGAGTCCATTCATTTTCAATGGGTGAAACAGGCTCCTTGTACACTTTTTCTGTACACAATGCACATGCTCATAAATAGTATCTCATCATTGATTATCCAAGTCGATCGTCATGCTTAGTAGTCCAATTCTCAGCTATATACTCTACTCATACACAATCTTGAATATCTCTCCATTTCCAAAGCAATATTTACCATAGTCCGTCATCTCGAAACTGAAAGAGTGAATAGTCCCACTGCTAACAAGATTCGCCACCACCCAGACCCATGTCCCAGAATCTGATCTCCAACTCCGTCGCCCGCACGAAAATCTTAATCAATTCCTCCATCCGACTGGGCGAGACCTCTCGCATATGCTTTTCAAGCAATTCTAGAATTCGTCATGTTAGCGGGTCCCCATCGCCCCCAGCTTTCGCCTCCTGCAGGGAAGGGAGATCCCAAGGTGGTCTTGCTTACCGGACCCCAGACGCACTGCCTCGGTGTAGTCGTCGGCGACATAGTTCTCAACCCACTTCCAGTACCGGTTACCCTCCCGCACCGAATCTTTGTCCGTGTAGAGTCGTTGTGCGATAGCTCCGTAGCCGATCAAGCAAGGCGCAAGAGCCATCTGTAGGGCGAGCCAATCTCCCGACTGGCCAACGTCGAGGATATACCGACTATACGCAGTGCACGCTGCTCGTACGTAACAACAGTGTCCCCGTCAGCTATTCTGCACCGAGTAACGTATGATTATGGTCGTCGGCGACGGAATGAGAATGGGTCACGCACCAATGGTTTCCGGAGTCTTCTCCATTTCCTCTTTGGTCAGTCCGAAGGAGGCACAGTAATCTAGGTGTAACGCTGTTTCGCGTTGGATATGTAGGACAATTTGCGCAGACTGTTCGCGTGAAATGGTCAGTATCTTGGCTGGTCGACCACCTGGTGACACCTCCACCCTCCACCCGAGTAGGATTGAAGCGCGCTTGTGTTTAAAAACATACCGCGGCGATTGATTCCATGCTCCCCGCCTTGTATGCAGCCAAAGCGTTGCTCCGTGCAAATTGAATCTGGTTCAGTTCGTCAGCACTGAATCTCGTCAAGAGAGAAAAGCTCGACATGTCATACCAAGTAAAGATAATCCTGGACGAGATATGATTTGAATCTCTCCAAAGGAAGTGTGCCATCGCCCAACTGCCGGACGAACTCATGCTCCGTAAACTTCTTCCAAGCTTCCTGAACGTCAGGACGATCCAGCGCATACTCTATAAAACGACCGCTGAATGACTCGTCAGCAACACATGCTCAACTCCATCTCTCAGAAGTAAAGAAGGGCAAGTGACTCACGGTGCAAACGGCAGGCTATACAACGAGTGGAAGTGGTTGATCGGCCCACTCCCCTTGCCGATATCAAAGCTGGTCTTGATACCGGCTTCAACAAACCGAACAGCGCTCTGGACGGCCCGCTTCATGCCCTTACCGAGGGCGAGATTGGCCGCAATGGCCGAGGCCAGCGAACAGCCCGTGCCATGCGTGTTCTTCGAGATGAGGAAGTCCGTCTCGAACAAGGTGACTTCCTCGCCATCATACAGTACATCAACGACGATGCACGCATCCTCCTGATTTTGCGCGGTCTTATGATCTTTTGTGAGGGGCAAATGACCGCCCTTGAGCAAGACTCCCTTTGAGCCCAAGGAACAGATCTGCTTGGCCAGCTGTACCATTCCAGGGAGGTCAGTAGGCTCGGAAACATCAATTCCGGAGTCCTTGAGAAGTAGCAGAGCTTCTGGGATGTTCGGGGTGAGGATGGTGGTCAGGGGAAGCAATTTCGACCGCAGGACTTGTACAGCGGCCCCAGGGAGCAGTTGCGATCCACTTGTTGACACCATGACCTGTAGTCCCAGTATCAGACCGGTGAACATACACTGCATACTGGGGGAATGGAGATAGCTACCGGATCCAGCACCACCGCAGGAATCTGATGCGTGACCAGAGCCTCGGCAATCACATTAATTGTCTCCGCGGAGGAGAGCATTCCTTTCGCCAGTCAGCGCACGCACACGCATGATATAACCGGCGCGGCTTTCAATGAGCTGAAGCCAGAAAAGCCAATGGTGAGGAGGTGAGGAACAACGAACCCAATTTGACTACATCCGCACCGACATCTTCGAGGCCAGCATTGATCTGTTTCTTGACAAATTCAGGCGGAATGATAAAGATATCTTGCACTCCCAGAGTGTTCTGCGCTGTAAGACCGGTGGTTGCGGTCAGTGCATAGACGCCGTGAGCAGCCAGAACTCTCTGGTCCGCTTCTAGACCCCTGATGTCAGAATTGATTGCATTAGTTGACCAGGCCTTTGGAGAGAACCGTGCACAATTTGACGTACGCGCCACCCGAGCTGTCCGACCCCGCAATGACCAGAACTTTCTTAACCGACATGATAACAGTCGAGTAGCCCAGATTGGGATCGAGTTGCCCTGAATGATTGAAATAATTGATGGGGATGCAGATGTTTACACACCGAGCGAGTCAACCCGGCAATGGATGGCGGGAGTCACTGATCGGGGACCGGAGGAGGGGAGTGCGGGGCCCGGCTTTTGATAAGATAAAAAAATAAAAAAAAATAAAAAAAAAATAAAAAAAAGACAAAAAACAACAGCTCCGATCTCTCGACTACGCTTTTACTAACTACTTCCTACATGTTACCCGTACATTAGAAATCCATAGATGCAAAATTGAATCCATGCCTATTCACCTCATCATGCCGTTGTTCCAAATCTGGTAATACCCGCTATCCACATACTAAAACAGAAAAGTTGCTGATATGTACAAATGTAAATAGATCTATGAAAAACCAATCATGGCAACATGAAGCGGAACAGACTATCCATTTCGACCCATTGTCGTCCGCACTTCTTTAGATATGCGTCCACGACCCCTTTGACAGTTCCAAACCGGGTACGGTTGAACTCAACTAACGCTGCCACACTGTCCTTCTTCTCCGCATTCCCATCCTTCTCAGCCGCAGTTCGAGCCTTGTCGACATCCCAAAGTCCGGCAAAGTAGAGCAGCTGGTTGTACATCTGTTTTTCCGTGTACTCGTAGGACATGCGACCAAGACAACCTTCAGCGTGACCTTTAGGACCCAGGCAGCGGTGCCCGTATACACTGATCTGACGCGTCCGGTTACCGCAGGCCGTATCGTCGCAGACAAGCCAGCCCTCATAGTATTTGGAAGTCTGGGCCCGGATCTGGGTTTCCAGCTGCGCAACGATGGTCAAAACCGAGAAAGGTTTCTGACAGGCTTGGTTGGGGCAGATAACGCCGTTGGCTGTGCACATATGAACGGACCCGAGCAACCCTTCAAACACCGATTTCTCCTTGCAGGACCGACAGGTGAGGGTGAGTCGGGCTGCGCTTTCGAAACGGACCGAATCGGGGATTTGCGATTCCAGCGGGAAGATGTCAGCGTTCTGCTGGTTGCTTGCAGTAGAAGTGTTGATCTGATATTTGCGGACATCGAGGCCCAAACACTCCGCCAACCGAACAGCATCAGTACCGGGGATAGGAGCACATAGACGCTCGATAGGCGGGAAGATCTGCTTGAGCAAATAAAACTCGATGTCGGGCTTGAGCTCCGAGTCGGGCTTCATCACGTCCTGCAGTGTATACGAACGTTTGGCAGGCGGGAGGGATGCAGTTTCCGAATCTCCACTGGTCACGATGTAGGAGATAACGTCATTGGGACGAACCGTCTTTCCTCGAGCGAGCTCGCGCAGGGCGACCTGCACTGGAGGCATTGTCTCCTTGTTGGGGTATTCCTCAGGTCGCTTGGAGAGTTTCTAGGAGAAACGTCAGCATTCTTTGGTCTTTACTGTCCTCAAACCGACACTCCATACCGTATAAATCACGTATTTCTGCACAGGGACAGTGAACTCTCGCATCTTGCCTGCAAGATCGCGCAGGTAGTCGTGGATCCGGTTAAGAACAAGTTCTTGGTCCTCGCCAGAGAGAACCTCATTCAACAGTTTCTGGGAAACTTCCTTCGACAGTGAGCAGTACTCACGTCTCTTCATGTCGAGACCCTTGACTTCCAGCTTGTCAACGTACTTGCCGTCTACTTCTGTGATGTTGACGGCAGCGTACTTCTTCTTGGCATGCAAGAGGAGACGACGGAAGATGTTGTCGATATCGATCTCCAATAGTCGATAACGCTCATTCACCGACTTCTTGAATTCCTCACCGACCTTAATCGCATCGCTGATAGTGTCCATATTCGTGTTGATCATGACGGAGTCAGTATCACCGTAGATGACACGGAGTTGTTTCGACTCCGCCAGCTCCTTGGTGCTTCTGAGAATCTCACGCCCCTTGAAGGTAGTAAGCATGGCCAAGGGACGAGCATAAAAGCGACTCTGCGTGTAACCCAAGCATCCGTACATAGAGTTGGCCGTCAGCTTGAAGGCCAACTGCTTAGTGTCCCAGAGAGCGAGCTGCTCAGGCGTCGCGCGTTTGTCTTTCATCAACTTCTTCACCTCACGTCGACGACCGACCAAAGTTGCGATTAGGCGGGGCAGGATACCCTGCTCTTGCTCTGACGACGGGACCTCGGGTACTTTCTCCTCCTTGTCATTCTCGGCCTAGATAGAGCTGTGAGTAGGCGTTCAGTGGTTGGTCGAGTTCATAAACTCACAGTTGCCGTCCGTTCCACGGTTGTGAAGCAGATGTTAAACTCCTGAATGATACTCGGGTACAGACTGTTAAAGTCCATGACTAGGACAAAGCGGTCGTAAAGGCCCTTCTCGGGTTCAAAAACCAGACCACCCTTATATTTGTCCTTCTTTTTCTTGTCCGCCGAGTCGTCCTCGTCACCTTCCTGGAGTTTCTCTTCCGCTTTCAACAGCTTGGAAGAGTATTTATCAGGACATATGTATTTGTTCCGGTGGAATTCGTGGAGGAGAATGTACTCGTTCCGCTCGGCGCGCGTACCGCTGAGCGTCCTTGCCCAGGAGTTACCAGCAATATTGGTGAGCACTTTGGTCAGAGGTAACATCTGCAGCTTCAAGACAAGAGCGGCGATGAAGTAGGTGTCTGCATCACAATGATTCACAAAATTCATGAGACCATCTTTCGTGGTAGCCCAAGATTTCAAGGCTGCTTCGGTGTCTAGTTCTTGTCTCGTATTGCCCTGTCCCAAGTAGAGTTCGCACATCTCTGTCAGGCTCCAAGATTGACATTTCATCATCAGAGACTATCAAATGTCAGCACATATCCTTTTGTGACCGCTGTCACTGAAACTTACCTTGCCCATGTCATTAGCCACATCACACATCAATCGTCCTGCGATCAAATGCCTTTCAGCGAAGAAACCTCCACCCCTGTTGAAGTTCTTAGGCCAGTCTCCACGTTTCAGTCGCCCGAGGCGATGCCATCCTGGCGTCTTCTTTTCCTTGAGTCGGTTGAGAAGAACGCTGAGGTCGACTTCCTGGAGCTGGTGCCCCATGAGGACATCAGGATCCATCTTCTCGAACAGTGCCAGGAATTTACTGAGCAGAAACTGCTCGCTCCTTTCCAGCATGAATGTACCTCGTTGCTTCCGGGTTTCGGCTTCGAAGTGCATGGGGTAAGAGGTGCCCACCGGCCGCATAACCGTGAAAGTTTTGCAAGGCAGCTTCTCCGGGGGAGTAGTGTCCGTGAGAGAGACATTCTCGTAGACTCTGGCACTGGCCACCAGAATCTCTTGCTTGTTCTCCTTGACGTTGAGTTGCGTGCGGAACGAAAGACTCATCAATGTGAGAGGCGGTGCGTCCAGATTCTCGGAATCGGGCACCGGAGAGATGAGCGCAGGCTTCGACACCTGGCATTCAAACTTACACCAGGAGGCATTGTTGACAGCCGAGAAGTCTGCTTCTTCAATTTTCAGCCAACATGGACCCATAATGCTTTTCCAGAGCACAAATTGTTCGAACAAGGCCGTGTTAGTACCGAAGACGTGGGAGAATGTCTCCCCCTTGACGTCCATGGGCAATGCAGGCTTATCATAAGGGTAGAGAAGCTTCAGATAATCCGTTTCTTTCGGAATGCCGGACACCTCAAACGCATACTTGCGCGTGCACGGCTTGATCTTGTGCATTCCCACTCGCAACCTCGACATCATATCGTCTACTTCGCGATAGACATCTTCCATATCCACCTCTTCATCGGTCTCGCGCCCATGCTTGTGACGGTTCTCGCGGGGAAGAAAGTATAATTTTCGGAGGATATTGTCGACTTTGACGAAGGCACTGGCATAGGAGCCTGTCTGTTTATTCTTCACCTTTCCGAACAAGCACAGGCTCCCGTTGACCTCAGTGAAATCCAACCAGAACATACGTAAGCTCCCATCCTCCTCAACAACGTCTTGTGGACGTAGTTTTCCGAAGGTTCGCATCTCAGAGTGGGCGGGGCTGCTGAGAACGTTCAGCTTGCTTCGGACGTCGTTCCAAGATGCATCAACGTCTGGTAGAGCCTTGACGGGAGAAGAGCTGGCGATCGAAGGATAAGACTCCTTCTTAAGTTTAGGCACTGGTCGGCTCCCTGCCATGTTGATACTTGCTGCCTTGGCTTCGTTCTGTCCAGTAGCTTGCGTGACCTCCATCAGGTCGGTGTCATCCTCGTCCGATTCTTCTACCTTGACCGCCACAGCCGTTGTCTTCCTCTCGATGGCCTTGCTGATAGGCGATGAAGGCATTGGGTCACTCATGGGAAAGTCCTCATCATCTATGTTGGGAAGCGGACCATCATCATAGTCGTCGTCCATGTTCGTATCCGACTGATCCTTTACCGGAGAAACCGGATCGCTATTCTCATCCTTTTTGATATGCGCATCCTTTCGCGTTCTATCCGAGAGCGGCGGGGACAAAATCCGGACTTTGCGTCGAGTCTCGGACTTGACGATATTTCGGGTTGGTAGGCGTTGCGGAACGATGTTGGTATCGACCTCTCCAAGGAGGTCAGCCATGAAGGCATCATCCTCTGCGGTAGCCACTGGCTAAAGTGGAAAAAATTGCAAGTTAGAGCAAAGTCCAGTTTCTAGACCCTCTTCCTCCAACTTCCAAGCTATCACGTAACCTTAACCCGAGGGACAAAAAAAAAGGAAAAAAGCTCACCTTGGGCTTCGGGGCGGACGGCGCAGCCCCGCTGTTGAAGTATTTCGAGATCCCGTTGTTGATTTTTTCCTTCCTCTGCTTCTCTTCTTCACGTTTCCGCTTGGCAGCCTTGCTCCGGGCAGGCAATTCATCGTCCTCGCTTTCACTGTCGTAGTCGGCGCCGCGCTCGTTCCACACTTCGCGACCGTCGTCCGCGTATCCTTCGCCGTTATCGTCGACCACGAAGTCGTCCTGATCGAGCCGATTGCGGATGATTTTCTTGTACCCTTCGTCATCAACCTCTTCGTAGACATCGCCCTGTTCCTCCACCTCATACGTGGAAAGGCGTTTCTTGCCCGCGGCGCGGAGAGCGCGCAGCTCTGCTAATTTGGCACGGGCAGACATGGCGACCCGACTGTCCTTGGTTCTTCTTATGAAGAGCTAGAGTCCATGAAAAGCTGTTCACTTGGTCAAATCAAATTCGAACAAGCCTTAGGATAACAATGGGGTCAGAAAGTGGGTTCTGAGGAAGGGAGGGGGGCTGAGAGTTCAATGCCAGCTGCTGTTGCTCCGACAGGAAATGCGGGAATCGCGCGGAGGCGGAGGCAGAGGCAGGTTCAACGCGTTTCGGAAACGCGGTTGCGACGCGCAACCCACCAATCCCGTTAAAGTGGTTTTACACTGCCTATTATAGTAGGTGAACACCAACGCATCTGTATCTACGGAAAGGCATCTACATAATCCCCGATGCGATGCTTAAATCAAGAAGTAACACAATCGATGAAAAATTATGTTGTCACCGTCAAGGGTTTAATTAATTTGCCGCAGGACTAACATTGACAACGTCATACATATAGCCCATCCTCTGAACTCATGTCACTATCTTCCACTGCTATCTGTTAGCGTTGTCCGACACAAATGGAGCCCTGATATTTACCTGGTACAATCCCGTAGTCAAAGGACCCGTCCAGATTCGCCTTCAGAGTTTCACTGATCAGGAGTTGCGCCTCCTCGGTCAGAGTACTATCTACTGCATTCAGGATTGACAGGTTGAAGCCTTTATTACCGGGCCCTAGCTGCGAGATAAAGTCAAGGATTCCATCAGCAGTGAACTTGCTGAAGGCGGGGATTACAAGACTCTCCAGTTTCGAGAGATGTGTGAATGCCTGAAAAACGGTATCGTCGAAAAAGTCGCCGCTTATCCAAAGCTTTTCCAGGCGGGGAAGCAACGCGGTCAAGGTCATGACATGGTCTTGTGAAAAGCCGTCGGAAATGTCTTTCAGGTCCAGCTCACGTAACTCACTCAGCTGGCTCAGTGCCTGTACTAGGACCTCGTTGTCATGGTTGGAAAAGGAGGCTTCGCCGCTAAGGCAGAGAGTTCGCAGAGTCTGCTGGCAGGCAAGGGCTTCATGAAAGGCCTGGCCACCTGACATATTATACCGAGACAACGAAAGACTAGTCAGGTTGAACCCTTCGCTGGTCAATGTCTGTGATAACAGGAAGGGGTCATCGACAAATCGTCTCACTTCTAGCTGCCGCACTGATTTGCAGCTGCCGATCCACTCGGCAACTTGCGAGACAATCGTATAGAATCTCTCATCCCGCGGGGATGGAACCGAGTCGGTTAAAGTTAAGACCCTCAACGAGGGAAGGGCTGCTAAAGAAGGCAGTTGTGCAATGCCATCGATTGTGAGGCTCGTCAACTTCAATTCTGATAGCGATTGCCGATGTGAGCCCAGACCCACAATGGAGCGAGGCCCAAGCTGGCTCATGCTGATCAGTTCAAAGGTTTCTAATGTGTTTGGCCTTAATTGGTCGAGAAACTGTTCGGATTCAGCTTCCGCGGTTGTGGGCGGACGGTCTCTCCTGCGCACTCGTCAGTACTGTATCCAGAACGATTTCCAGTGGCATATTCGGGTCTATACCAAGAATATATGGTGAGGTGCTTAAATTTTGGGCAGTTATGACGGAGCTGGGCACCAGCATGTTCGCTTAGAGCTTCGCCAGACCATACCGTTAGTGATTGCAGCAAGGGCAGTCCCCCTACCCAGTCGGATAGTGTTTCAGGGGGAACTAGAAAGGTCATTAGCAAGACCCATAACATACACTGGCCAAGCTTAGACGTTGGGCCTACCATTGAGCGACATCCCTCGTATCGAAGCCGTCTTCTTCACAATCGCTGTTTGGCGTTAGCTCTTCATCTCATATCTCATCATCATTTAGAGCCAAGAAGGGACAGACAGACCGGAACCAATCTTAAGCTTGACCGAGTCGGCACTGGGATCGGGGCCCTTGAAGGACGACCGGAGCCGTTTGCTGCCTTTCGACTGGTAGTCGGAAGAAACAATCTCTGATAGTTCCGGGGTGAAAAAGTCACTACAATCAGCCCGTCAGTATTTTGATCACCTATAGCTGATATCTGGAGCATGTATTACTCCCGTATCTGCCCGCTGAAATTTGGATCTTTCAGCAGATCTCCCAGATCATCCAGATCTAGATAACGAAGATAGCTGTAGTAAGGCAGGTAGGTCTGACCCAAAGCCGACAGAACAATGGATCGCCATAAGGTTGCCCACTTCCGTACGGTGGGGTCGACCTCGCGCCTCAAGGATGCATCAAATGTAAAGCGTCTGCGCGGGTTGAGAAATTGTTCATCCTCCGTCCCTCCACCCCGTACGGGTGACGCATGGCACACCCTGCAGGGAGTATCAGCGAAAACGCACCTCATGGGGACGGAGAATGGAAAAGCAAAGGATGGGAAGCATACCTATACAACGCAGCTAGCGCGTGGGCGGTCATGTATTTCGAGGATATGGCGCATTGGAATAAGCTGTTGTGGTCTCGCTCATCTCCCAGGATATCCAAGATCATACAAAGTACGTCATCGGCTAAGGCGAATCCCATCTTCGCAGCGCAGAGCTCCCAATTCCTTAAAAATTCCCACCTACTAACCAAGATAGCTCAATAGGCGTATTATGCTTTGATAAGAAGTGCTTGGCCTTGAGTCCTCGCGCGGGAAGGGTTCTTTGAAGGTTGTCTTTTGAAGGAGAGATACTGTAGGACCGCCAGTCCTTCCAGTAGATACGCGCTTATGTAATCTCGTGTCGTGTTTGCGGTCGACGTGCGGCGGGTTTGCATCAGCCAAGGAGAACTTATCCAGGACCAAACAAAGACAATCTGTGATAAACTGCGTGATAAGCAATCGGAGGGTGCAGAGAAGGACACAAAGGTACTGCTCGTGATCCGCATTCTCCCCGCTCATTCTCGATAAGAAGCAAACATGGCCTCCCTATCGTTCTCCCTCTCCCCGGAGGCGATCTATCAACTACACGATGCATTGATGTGCCTGGGTAGATTTGGCGACAATGTATCATTCGAAGCCGAATTCGACCTGGTACGTGATGCTCCATTTGTGTAGCTTGAAAGTCCTGAAGTGACTCACATAGATGAAATCAAGCTTCGTTTGAGCGTCTTGAACTCCACCAAGACAGCCTACGCCGCCTTCGCCTTTGATGCAGACAAGTTCTTCGAGTCCTACTCATTCGGGGTAGATAGACGCAACATGTCTGCAGGCGTTCAATCACATAAGTTCTGTTGCCAGGTGTTGATCAAAGTGGGTGGTCTTCGGACCAAATTAGCCACCACCAAGGGGGGTTTCTCCAGCTAACATTGGAATAGGCCCTCGTGTCCGTCTTCAAAGGAAGAGCAAGTGGCCGCAACAAGGACACCTCGGTCGAACGATGCGAGTTCGAGCTGCAAGACAATCCCGATGAGACGGAATGCCGCCTCGTCATCAGACTGATATGCGGACTTGGTGATTAACCCTACCCTCCACCGCAAGCATATTTTGTTCCTCCCGCCAGGATGCTGACGACTCAGGCGTCATCAAACTCTACAAGCTCACGTACGAGCCCGTCTATGTTCAGCATGCAACATTCGACAGGTCCAGAGCGACGAATGAATGGAGCATCGAGCCCAAGTTTCTGAAAGAAGTCACCGACCACTTCGGACCGTCGGCAGAGCAACTGGACATTTACTCCGAGCACGGCAAGACCGTTTTCACCAGCTTCACTACCAAAATCGCTGACGGAAAAGGTTTAGATCTCCCAACTAAAAGTCTGGTCGCCCTTATCTATGCTAACGAATACCTTCTATGCAGAGATCCTGCGACAACCAGTGCATACCTCCGTGGCCATCGACAAACGGGACTTTGAGTATTACCTGGCCGAGGACAATCGACACATTGCGATCAATCTGAAGGACTTCAAGGCTGTCCTTGCGCATGCTGATATTGTCCACGCCAGACTCACCGCCCGGTTCACCACTCCCTGCCGCCCGCTGCAATTCGCATACGAACTCGAGGGTGTCAAATCCGAGTTTACCTTAATGACGAGAGGTGAAGCCGTCGGGGACGATGGGCCAAGCTCGTCTCGAGCCGCGGCGCCACAGTTGTCTGCTCGACAGACCCCAGCGCCTGTGCAAGTGAGTCAGCAGGGGCCCACTGCTACCGACGCAAGTCGAATGCCGCCGCCGTCCTCGCGGAGTCGATCTCTCCGCCCTCTCACCGGAACGCCCGCTCGAGCTTCACAGACCCCCGCAGAATCCCAGAGACCTCAACCCCCGGTCGAATTCGATAGTCTCTTCGTACCTGCGGATGATGACCGACAATGGGACGTGTCGAATGACGAGGAGGCTCCAGCCGAGGACGAGCTTGGCTGGGATGCCACGGGTGACAAAGTACGACTCCCAGCATTAACCGTCTTCCATTGGCAGCTGGTTACTGACTTGATAACAAAGGACACTTTCACCGCCAGCTTGAGGACACGGGTGCCCAACGAGGAGTCGGAGGCCGCCGAAATAGGCCAAGAGGAGGAGACGGGCATCCCGCCCACCCAGCGCATATCACAGGTGACTTTAAGTGCCCTGCCCACATGAAATTGACGAGGAAACTAATACCGTCAGCTCCATGGCCTTGGTCTGTTCGATTAAGCAATCAAGCATCGCCGCGCCAACTATTAGCCACCTGAAGGTTCCCACAACCGCGTCGGAGCCAACATTAGGCAGTGATGATCCAGCTTGTCGCGCAACCGGCGCCAACGCCCACAATATCGGACTCGCCATCTGGCAGGGAAATCCGTTTCCACCCCCCCTTGACATTACCCTGCGCATCAGTATCGGGACCACAGTTCCCATGCTCGCCCCAGCCACAGGCCACAACCGTGCGCTCATCCAACCGAGCAAGAAGATGCTCGCTCCCCACCGCCAGGTCCCTCACCACCTGGCCGTGCCCCAAGTCACCGGTACTGGTCGATGATGGAATCTGTCCGCGATCATTCCTGCCCCAGGCCACCACCTCCCCATTGTTCAAATGTACATAGACGCCATGCCAACTGACCTCGATGGCCCGATAGCCTCCCGCGCGTAGTGCCTTCTCCTTCACCTGGGACGCAGACACCCCCGAGCGAATCCCCCACTTATCATCCACCGCGCCCAGCACGGCGAACTCCCCCCTAGCAGGATCGCCCATGATCACCGTAAACTCCCGCCCACACGCCGCCCCGGTCGCCGGGAACCCCAGCCCCTCCCACCCCTCAATCCTCCGGGGACTCCAGACCACCTTGTCAGGGATATTCGCTTCCCCCAACTGGCCCTTTCTCGCCGCGCCCCAACCCCACACGCTCCCATCGGAAAGCACCACCACCGTATGGGCCATCCCACTCGCAACCGCGCGCACCCTTACCCCGGGAGGCGGGAAATCCGGAATCGCGACGCCGCCCGCACTCGCGCGGAGACAGCCCTTCCCCAATCCCAATTCCCCTTTCAATCCCGATCCCAACACAAACACTCGATCCCTGCTCTCCTGTCCCTCCTCCTCCTTCTCTAAACCAGAAGCGACCAAAACCGTCCCCTCCCACGAAGCAGCCACCCCCGTGAACGTATCATAGACCCGACCACCACCACCTGCCTCTGCACCACCCGCACCAGCACCATCCCCGGAACCACCCCCAGAATCACCACCAACAACAACCACCCTCCTAAACCGCATCACCATCTCCCCCTCCCCCTGGCCTCCATATTCCTTCGAAGATACCCCACACCGCCCATCCCCATTCCACCCCGCCGCAAAGACCCTGCCCCTCCGATCCGCCACCAAAGTATGATTTCCCCCGGCCACGATACGAACCACATCGCCTCCTTTCGGGGTACCCTCATCTCCAGGCGCTGCATCCTCCGCAACCTCGAAAACACATCTTACCGGCAGTGAGACATCCTCCTCATGCCCCAGCCCCAATTGGCCGGAGCCATTCGACCCAAACGCGAAGAGAGGCATTCCTTTCTAACTCCGGGATTTGTCGTGATGTGGCTTGCTTGCGTGATTTGATTTGTGCTAGCGAGGTAATCTAGCGACTCGACTATCAGAGGGTATACTGCCACACCGGGGAAAATACAATCGAATGTTATCCCCCGGTTTTCTTTTCGAGAGCAGTCGAAAATCAAATTACTATCTGCTGCCCCTGACGGGAGAAAAGTTTAGCTAAATCCGTATCACGTATGAAAAGTAGCAAACAAGGAAATATTATCATGGATGCATCGGGATGAGAGAGAATAGACAGACCACAGGGTTTGTTTGTTCTCTTTAGCGGTCAAGAGAGCACTCCTTTTCAATATGACAAGAGAGATAACCGAGGGTAGAGGACAGTGGCTGAACTACCTAGGCACCACTAAAGATCAGATAGTCTTGCAGGTGATAATGAGTGGGGTGGGAGAGGAATTTCGATGCAGGAAGATTATTGATAACGATGCGATAAACAAGTGACGAATGTACCGCCTTTTCCTTATCGCTTACCTCTTCCGGCGGCGTTTATCCGGCAGAATCCTGGTCGGCCGAAAACGGCAGAGTGGAAGACCGGCAATGACGACGTGCGAGAACGCCGTGGGGCCAAAGGACGATGTAACTTGTCCTCCGATGAAAATGTAAGTGTTCCAAGTCTGGGGTAGAAATGTGGAGACAAAGGATACTACGAGGCCTTATGTAAGAAAAAGAAAGTCAGGATGAAAAGTATGTATTTCCCAGCATTGGGGAGGATGCAATATTAATCAGCTTCTATATACTTAAAAAGTAGGTATTTATGTACCTGGGTATTGGGAGGAGGTGTACAGCCACAACAAGAACCAAGCAAAACCACTCGCTCGAAAAACAAAGATTGTGAAACAGCAAGAAAGGAAGAGTGAAAGGCATCATCAACCCGGATTGGGGTATGCCACATGCAATGCATCACGCCGATGGTCTTTTCAAAGTGCTAGAAAGGGAATCATTCAACATAACCTAACGGTTGGTCTTCTCATTGAAGGACTCTTCCGAGTCATCCTGCGCAGCCGGAGGGAGAGCGAAGTTATCCGTCCTCGTGGCCGGCTTGTCCATTCCGCGGAACATAGGGCTAGTGCGGTGGAAGTAGGAGTGGACGTGGCCTTCCAGAAGAGACTCATCGGTGTCCTGCAGGTAGTCTTCGCCCTTGGTAGTCTCATCCATTTTGCGAGCCATGGCAGACTCCCATTCAGCGCGGAACTCCTCCACCTTCTGCTTGTAGTCAAGCTCGGCGTTGTAGTTCTTTCCAACGCCGCGCAGACGCTCCCAGACAGACAAGTGCTTGGAGTGGATAGCAGGACCGTGGTAGTCCTGCTCACGGCCTTCACGGATGTACTGCCAGCGACGTTCCTGCTCCTTCAGATCCAGACCTGTGGTGTCGGGAAGGAAGAGCCAGGTGAGAACCATGCCGGCCAGACCCCACCAGGGCACAAAGTAGAACTTGGTGCGGGTGCCGATGTAGTTGTACAGCACCGAGGCCAACAGGGCACCGAGTTTACCGCAAGCGGCGGAAATACCGTGAGCCGAGGCGCGGATAGGAGTGGGGAATACTTCGGCGGCGACCAAGAAAGTGATCGAGTTGGGGCCGAATTGGTTGAAGAAGGAACTCAGGAAGTACATAGCCTGGAAAGCGTGGATGTTCTCCGGCTGGATGTAGTAATCGTAGTGGAAGGCGGGAACGACGAACATAACAAAGCACATCAGGAAACCGATCATCTGCATCCACTTGCGACCGTAGAGTTTGTTGTCCACGAAGAAAGAGGCGCAGTAGTATCCAGCCAACGAGACACCGACATTGCACAAGCTCCACAACCATGTAGGCATAATGGACTTGTTACCGGGGCTCAAAACTTCGATGAACTCGGAGCTGAAAAGCTTGTTACCGTAGAAGAAGACATCATTGCAGAACCAACCGCCGGTGGTGGCCAGAAGACGAGGCCCGAAGTACTTGAGGGTGAGCTTGAGAGAGTTGACATCATAGCCAGTGACAGAGGCCTTCTTCTTAGCGGCGTCCAGCTGCTTACTAGCAGACTTCATGTGGTAGGCACGGTAGTAGACCAGCCACAGGGTTCCGACGGCGGGAATGGCGAAGGAGATACGGTAGGTCCATTGAGCGGCAACGGCGGAGTAGGGAGGGTTACCGCTTCCATGGTGGAAGATCAGTAGCAAGATGATCAGGATAGCCTGGTTGAAGAACTGACCCCAACCTTGCATCAAGAAAGCGCTGGTGACCTTGCGACCACGGTGGAGACGATCCTCCTTGGTCGAAACCTTTCCGGAGCCGACGGCATTCTCCATACCGCTGGTGGCAGTCATGGGATATTCACCACCGACACCAACACCGTAGACGAACAGAGACCAGGCGTAGCAAATGATCCAGCCATTCTCGTTCACACCCCAAGCTGCGATAAGCATGATCAGACCGAGAAGCATGATTGTAGCATCCTGAATCAAACCCCAGCGGCGACCGACCCTAAATCATGTGGTCAGCGATACTCTTTCCGAACAGATTCGAATTGAAGACCATACCAGTCACCTAGAATACCGACCAAGATCTGACCGACAATGATACCGAGAATCTCGAGGTAGTCGATGGCGTAGATCCATTGCTTGTCGCAAGTCTCGTAATCTTTCCAGCAGGACTTGAAGGAATTCTGGAAGAGAGGTTTGATGTTTCCGATAGAGAAGAGCACGTAACTGGATAGGCGCAAAAAGCAATGTGAGCAAAACTGGTGGCAGCTTCGGGAATAGTCGTTGGAGGGGTGGACCTACCCTTCAAGACCAAGACCAGCACCAGGCAGGACCATATTCCGGAAATAATAAGAGACAGGAGAAAGAGGATCCTCCTTGATCATGGCCCAGATTCCACGAAGCTCACGCTTGGATTCCTGAGCATCGTAGGAGCCAACGAACTTGACTCTCTTGACTAGGGGCAGATCGGCCCAATAGGTACCATCGGGCGTATAGCTGTCATCGGGACGAATGAGCTGATCGAAGGCACCCTTTTCGTGGAGATCCATGTCCTCGAGGGGATTATGGGTGCCAGTCATGTCGGGGCCATGGGGGGCCTGAGCACCGAGAGTTGCCATCTTGTCGGACGATGTGATATGATAATCGACTTGGCTGTCGCAACAAGACTCGGACAAGAAGAAGAGGCGCTCTTAGAAAGATCTCCTAAAGAGGAGGGAAGGGGAAAACGGGCGCGTTGACCGTGATGGAGGCGTCACACACGATGCAGGCCAAGTTGTTGGACAGCGGCCGGCCATCAATCTTATATTCCGAAAATCTCTGGGCTGGGCGGACCAGCAACAGCCCACCGTCACGCCCCAGGCACATGTGCAAATAGTGGGACGTGATAAGCCAGACGCCGGTCTTGGGGGGAGGGAGGGGGGGGAGTGTGTGTGTGTGTGGTTCATGGGTCGACGGGGAAAATTCTGGGTAGCCCGTAGTCTGGTAGGTAGTGCGAGATCCAACTGTAGTGGCGGCGGGTGGGGAAGTAAGAATTAGTTTTAGCGGAGTGGATCCCAAGGAAAAAAGGGTTCCACTGCGCTGCAAGTCGTTAGTCGACTTAGACTAGGATGCAGGAAGGCGGACTCTCGCCAGCCCCAGTGCCTAGGCCCTAGACCCAGTTAAGGATATTGAATAGGTAATTGAATACTGGAGCCACTTTCTCTCTTTCCTCTCGGCCTTTGTGTCGCGGCTTTTCGACCGGAGAGACCGGAGCGGGTGAAAGTTCCCATGAGAGGAGAAGAGGTTCAGGACGGGGCGGTCATCGGTCATCGGTACCTAGTAAGTACTGCAGTAGTGGTAGGTAGGAGAGGTTTCCAATCCAGCTTGCCCGTTCCCGGGCAGAGTTCCTTCCTCCGAGAATCAATTGCACCCACCACACCCGCACCCACCCGGATGAATTGGAAAAACCCATCTATCCGAATATTATTATGACTTTCGTCGGGTGGCATGAGAATCAAAATGAAAATCTATTATCCCTCCAAAGGATGAATTCCAGAGGATCCAGTCAAACTAGGATTATGGATTATGAATAATCCTCAGGAATAATAATAATGCCTGGTGGTAGACGGTGATTGTGGCGGAAGTCAGTTGAGGTTGAGCCCGCCGAGGAAGACGAAGGACCAACCTTGGTGCGGAAAGGCGGGCGTGAGGGGCGTTTCCCACTGCAGAACTTCCGCCGCCGGCCAATCAAAAGCGCACGTGGGGGCAGAATCGCCTTCGATCGACATTGACCGCCTTCTAGAATCACCCGCCCGGATTTGCCTCGGTCCAATAAAATGTTGGCAACCGCAACCCCACTACGAAAGCTGCACGCCTGGCCGGCCCCGAAGTCACCATGAATTGCTGGCAGGTGGTGGTGGTGGCATCATCCTCCATTTTTTGACTGTTGAAAATTTCCGGGGGAGATAACAAAAAGACGGGGGATCTATTGGATCTGGATCTAAGAATAATCACGACGCTGCAAAAAAGACCGACCTGCATCAATTGGACCAATCTGGCTGGCTCACTTAGTTGTTCCCAGATGGGAAAGAGAGAGCGTGCGCTGCGTGCGCTGTCAAGTGAGATCTTCAAGTATATGAGAAAGTTGGATTGAGCGGCAAGAGGGCTCCGCTCGGATCTTCAGTGTGTTACCCAACGCTGTTCATCATGATGTTGATCTATCTCGATTCCATTAGATCTTACAGCTGAATGATGCACATTTGATAATATGAGTATGTTTTCCTGCGTTGTCTTTCGTCCTTACGTTCCTTCGGTCCTCGTCCACCCGACGACAGCCATGGACTTTTTTGGAATAAGACATGGCTCATTGGAACACGCGCACATAGATAGTTTGACCCGGGCTGAAACTCGTGGTCGAAGTCTAAACATGTGCCGATGCATACGTAGTTGCATATACAATTGAACAAGTAAAGTAAGTGGACAAGTGAACATGGTGTTTGGCATCTCTTGGCACTGCACTTCAGTTGTTTGTCCGCCAGCCAGTCGCATCGCGTCCTGCCAGCACGTTCCCGCCAACCCTTCCCCAGTCGTCCATCAACAACACTTCCCGAGTCCCCCATCTTTTGTTGCCCTCGTGCTCTTGTGCCTATGTGGGAGGTGGCCCTCCCGAGTCCTCTTTCATTGTCGCCTGATCAAGAGTTCCATCCGGTTTCATGGCTCCTGCTCGTTTCCACGGATGGAGACGTCGGCCGACCACATGGCACTACGTCCGCCCTCTTTGGACCTATCCCTTGCCTGCATCGCTCCACGGTGCATTTCAGTCAGCTTATACATCATTCTCGTACAGGACACCGGAACGAGGTGCTACAGTCACAGTGCAGCTTGGGACCCTCCGTCTCTGCCCGATCATGGTCATCAAATCTAATGTGTGTTGGATGATGACGGCGCACGTCTTGTCTCGGAGATGCTCTGGGCGGACTTTACCGATATCAACCTTGAAACCTTAAAAGATAGGGGTCTCATCATACTTGCACCTCCTCCTGGCAGTATGAAGCCAGCTTGGGTTTGGTCCAATAAGAGCCGCGGGCTCCGCCTCGTGGCTCATATCTCTTCGACCCGGGCCTACCTTTCCACTCCCGCGGGCAGACCATCAGCATTGCTGACAGGGTCTCTCATATCAAAGGAGCTGTTGAGATTAGGGATCGTCTATCCCACTGCTCTTTCCAGCTCCATCCCGAGCTTCATGGGTCCAAGGTCAGCCGCCATGCTGCGTATGCATCTAGAAACAGCTACCCGGCCGGCCCTAGTGCAGCAGATTGGCCACGCACTCTGATAGTTGGGTAATAGCTGCAGGGAGATAACATGAGAGCGCTGGACCCTGATTCCACTTTCATCAAATGAAAGGATCTAGATGCGACCCATGGCCCGGTGGTGCGCGGCGTTCAGCGAGATCGGCCGCTCATCTCCTGACATTGCAGCCAGGAGAGATCCAGCAGAGCCGATGGTGGTCAGACGTGGTGGTCTCTTGGGAAGATATCCCTTCAATGAGTGGTTCGGTGAAGTATGGTCGCTACAATGGCTTCAAGCTCTGCTTTCCACACATCGATTGATGATGAAGCACGCTGTGCGCAGGTTGATATCTGTTTCCATCATCCAAGCAAAGCTTGACTGAAGGCGTATTTCACAAGCCTTCTTGGCCTCATATCTCGTCCAGGGAACACACGGCTTGGTTTCCGCCACTGGATGCAGCCTTGTTTCTTGGAGTTCTTTGCCTAGAATCATCCTGGCGCTGCTTATGCATTGCCACACCCTCGACCCTGCATGCCTGGGAGGCTACTAGGCCAGGCGTCGAAGGAATGCCAACGCGGCAGCCGATATACCCGCTCTTTGCTAGCTCGTGCAGATGTCTCAAGTGGGTTGCCCCCCCTTACTTAGTCATGTACGATGCATTGTCACCGAGTGAACTGGCTCTCGCTCTGCCGTTACTCGGGTGTAGCCCGGCCCGCGCCACCGGTCATCAGGTCGGTTGCCTTGTGTAATCGTCGACGGTGGTACAGTCCCAAGCCCTTGCATGGACACAAGGCTTACCCGAACACTTTAATTCGACAGACTATAACTTTGGTGGTGGTGGTGAGGTCATGCCTGCTCTCTGGTCTTCTTGGCCCGGCGCTTTCAGTGTCGACTCGAGAAGTTGTCCAACGACTCACGGTAAGCGATTCGTAGATTCCAAAATCCGCCACGTTCCTAGTACATGAACCCTCCCTGTAGCCCTGCTAGCGGAGTCGGCGATGGCACAGTACATGCAATCCCACTGCATTAGACAACCAAAGCCACCGCGGAAACCCGAACTTGACCATCTACATCGCGTTCTCCAGATGAAGAATGGCCCCTCCACACGAGTCAGAGTATATGCTGGATATCTACTATCACACGATCACCAGGCACTCAACCAGATAACTCATCTTCATCCCATCTATCCTTTCCCTCGTCCTAACAGACGACATCTTTGGACAACTATCCTCGAAGCGAATTATTCATAACCGCGCCCAAGCTCTGTACTCAGCTGAGGTATCAACAAGTGTTCAACGGTTGCAAACTTCCTAGAAGCCTCCCTCCCTCTCCATGAGTAGTTTACTCTAGCTTTCTGCTTATTTCTTTCTGCCTCAGAAGCTCTTGCTGATCAGTGACGTTACTAACACGGTATTCAAGCCCACATCGAAATGTAGCCCAGTCGTCTCAGATTCTCTATTGAGCCACCTGATGATGGATCTGCAGACATATACCCATCCTAACTGCTGTCAATCCATGAGGAATACCCCATCTCCATAGTACGAAGCTTTACATCCTGGGCCTTAATACAGCGACCACGAGATCGATTGTTGATGGCTGCACTCTTCTCGCTTCTCTTATGAGGAAGGACGATGTGGGGACAATGATGACTTGGGCCCTTGATTCGAGGAGAGGCGTGACCATGAAGCAATATTTCGCATCGCAAGAGTCGTTCCTACTGACCAGACTGCAAGAAGCCAGGGTAAAAACTGATCATGAAAACCAGTCGCCCTTTTAGCCCGCGTACCTAATCTCCCGATATTCCCAAAATCATACTTAAGAGACATCCCAGTCGCAGAGGTGGATTGGGGAGACCGTGAAAATATCAGTGAATCTCACTGCACCGCTAACTGTAGCTGGTGGTGTGTGTTGTCTTGACCGAACGTTTTGAGGATCATCTCATGTAAGGTTTTCCGAGGGCGATCGCCGCAGTTGTCTCTCGACTATGCTGGTATTGGAAAGCCCTGGCAAGCAGCTCTCAGCCCAGGTTGGATTCGAGTGAGACCCGCCGTCCGAAATTGACGAGTGCAAACACGCTCCGCCGGAGGTATCAGCTCCTCGCGTCCAAGCCCGGTATCTTGGTGGTGCTTCTACCATCGGGTGAGAGATACGAAACTGGGTGTTAGGTAGAGAGCCATATGAACACTCGTAGAGAGATAGCTGAGCTTAAGGGAGGAGCGTCTGTGGCATGTTTGTTTACTGGCAAAGAAGAAAGGATATAGCTGGAGCAGTCATTACTCCGATAACGGGGTATTGAGGTAGGTTCATACCTACATCCGTAGCTATCAGATGGCTAGGTGACATGACAAGGACCTGTTCTTGTCAGGTATGAGCTTCTTCAAATTTATCATTCTAGTCCACCATCTTCGATGGCAGCTTTACACATGTACGCCCAAGATGGAGCCACCTGGATCATCATACTTTCGTTCTTTGTGGAAGCGTCAGCTCTGATATTCTAGTACAGATTGAAAGACGGAGCCGAATTCTCGTTGCCAAGAAGCAGATCCTGTGATCGCGTCGTTGCAAGGGTGAAAAGCAAGAAAGCATGAGTCTTGCTTGAGAACTTTCTGATCTGATCTTGTCAAAGGGTGCTACAGAGGCGTTTGCCCCAGGGCCGTGATACGGGTGTTGCAGCAGGGCCTGGCACTAGATGTACACAAATTGAGATCTAGGTTTAACTTACTGCACATCAGGCGCTTTGTCACCCAGCCTGATTGCTGCCTCCTGTTTTAGTCATGTTATGGGCCTTCTCTCATTGAACCACTGCGAACCGTCCCCCAGAATCATGTACTTCTTCGTACCTAACTTGCTGTACATACCTAGTTCGCATCAGCTCATCGCGCTAGTGTTTGACCGTGTGGGGGTTGGGGCACGCTATAAGTGATAGAACTGACCGCAGGCACTTAAGTTCGGCCATTGAGATTTACAGAGTACAGTACAGTGCAGTTGTATGTACTGTACCCCGCCGACTCTACGTAGTGTAGTAACGCTTGGGACCGGAAGACGCGCAGTGATCCTTACTTCTCCTTATGGGCCAATCACGGCCCCATTGAGACGCCTGAGGTGACTTGTGGCATGCCGTTCCCTAGACATAAAGCGAATCGCGCAGTGGTGTCTTTAGTGAGTTTCTGTCTACGTTATAGCATTGTTGCTCAACTCCTGTTCGTTGATGGCAGGGGCTTGCGTCCCATAGTCTGGCAATCGCCCAGCAGCAAATGCAGCGTTCCCAGCTATGTATTCGTAGGTTGCTAGTTCTAGACCGGTTCCTACGCAGGAATTCATCTCATCTAGGCGCGTGGACGACTGTTCTCCGGCCGCTCATGAGAGGTCAGAGATAGTACCTCTGAGCCGATTCTGCCTACTTAAGCCAGGCGATTGACCATGAGAACCCCCCATCCTTTGACCCATCTACATCGATAAGCGACACGAAACCCAAGTCATCTTTGCAAGCCCTCGAATAACCGCCGCCATACGCAAGCCGCAGCCACCATTCACAAGGCTTCTCCCCTCCTGTGGGTAACCATACATGTGCTGTGCTTCAGATGCTAATCTTCTTAGCATCCACGATTCAGCGCGATGAGTCAAAAAAGGGCCTCTGGGGCTCAACAAGCTCGCGACAGCTTTGCCTCCCTGCTCAGTTATTACGAGAAGCATGTCCCGGCCGACGAGGCGCCTGAATTCACCAAGCGGGTCTCATCCGCCGACATCGTGATAGGGATGAGGAAGGGCGATGTTCCATCAGCAGAGCAGGGAGAAGAGCTAAAGAAAATTTTGGCTGATGCTTTGAAAACACAAGATGCCATAAGCAACCTTTCCCAATCCGAGAAAGACCTCAAGACCCAAGCGGCGCAAGCAAGCCTTGGAGCTCGTAAACGCAAATAGGTTGGATGGGTGTGCATTGAACTCGATGTACCTAGTTGCCTATTATTATTCATAAAGGAGCCATGTTTTCTCTACTTCTTCTCATCAAGTAACATGCGGCCGGACCACGCAAGAGCAGAGGTTCATAGGTCAACTAACTCGTCAATGCTGTAATGAGAGACGAAAGTGCCCTCACTTGCCTGCAGCATCTTTTGCTCAATGATGGTGTCGATGTTCGCCCGCTCTTCCTCACTGAGCAGACCCAGTCTATCTTCGACTGCTGTAAATGGGCCATAGAACCTTGGATCGATGAACTTCCAATATATCTCATCAAACATGGAACTGTGGCGTGAAGCAAGACAAATCCAGAACAATCCAGTCTCCATCGATTTCTCCATAGCGATGGACAGCTGCTGTGAATGTGACAAGGAACCGTCCTGGATCTTTTTGGCCTCACACTCTTTGAGGACCTCGAGAAATGTGTTAAATCTCGGCATAAAACGCACCAGAAATTCATCCAGATCAGTTTCCCAGTCTTCCGGCTTCTCCAGTAAGAGCCACCAAGGCGCCGCATATGTGAATTCGGCAGGGGCAGCATAAGTGAACTCCCAATCGATGACTCCCGTGACAGCCAGTCTTGATGCATCAACAAGAACATTGTCAGGACGGAGGTCATCGCAATATAGCCTGAAAGGACCTTTGCAGTGTTCCTTCGAGATATCACGCGACAACTTGCGGAACAGACAACGCGCAATGTACTTCTTCCGGCAGTCAGCTTCATCAGTTACCGCGTCATTGCGCTGTAGCTCCAAATGATGGAAATGGTGACGCGCAAGCTCCTCAAAATAATCTGCTGCATTGTCAAAGTGTTGCTGCCCAAATATACTGTGCGGAATATTGGAGAACTGAGAAAGGCGATTCATGTTGAAGGTGAATGTCGTTGCTGCACCGTCCACTCGCCAGTCTCGTCCAGTCGAACAGCTCCAATGAAGGGGAACTCGGGCTTTGACAGCTCCAGCAATATTTCAGCCATGCCCATATAAGCTCTTCGCAATACAGACATGTTGATATTCGAACGCAGTGTGACTATCTCCTGAGACGGTTGTCTAAGATACCCACTTAACTGCTTGCCCTCAGCGTAGTCCATCACGATGTATGGGCCAACCACACACTTTCCAGATCCCAAGACCTTTGGGACAGGGACCCTTGTATATTGGGCAACATATTGCATGATAGCGACTTCATCTTCGACCTTTTCAGTACGAGCGACGACCCGACCAAGTGCAGTAAACCGCACCACGACACGATGACCGTCATCGTAGGTAACACGGTAACAGATATTGAAAGCGCCATTGGCAAGCGGCGCGGCTTTTACAGGTGTGCCAGCACGATGGCGGGAAGCTACCTTCCCCGCCAGCTCCTCGGGTGAGTTCCTCAGTAGATTCTGAAGCCACACTTGAAAGATCAGATTCGATTTCTCTTCCGCGAGGTGATCGAAGTCCATTTTTGCATGTGCTATCAGGTTGATTCAGCGAAGGAGGAAGTAGGGAGTTTGGGGAAGAGGGGTGGACAGATCAAGGAGAGAGACGCTGACCGGAAAAATTGTCTGGGCCGACGGGACGGGGTGATCTACAGAATGTCTATGCCAATCTTCGCCTCCTATTAAGCGCCTGTATGATTGATTTGACTTGGCCTGTTATGAGCTAGTGTAACACACATCACATTATTGCACATGTTGCTGCATTTCCCTACTGTCTGTATTACTTTTTTTTTTTATTTCTTTACTTTCCCTGTCATGACAACTGGTTATCCGTCAATTTGCCTGTTTACTTAATTATCTAACTCTGATCCTGCCATCTTTACTAATTCTTTCCTCCCATAACAGAGGCGAAGCTAGAGTCGAAAACTCATGAGGCTCTTCCTAGCTAGGTGTACTACCAGGAGGTAGGTAGTTATCAAAGATCAGAATGTAGTGACACAGCATGCGACCCAATGATTCGCTCCTAACCTGGACAATATCGTCAATCGGTGCTACTATCACGTCAGTCGATTTCAAGCGGGGTAAGACAGCCTCCAAACAACACTTGCTGCCAGAACCACCAGTGTCTTTGCATTTCAAGCCTTGCGACATGCTGTGCCAGCTAACCGGATCATAATCTCGTATACGTTCATTGAGCACACACACGACATGGTCATCCCAGCACCTATCGAAAATAAGACAGCTCACGGCGATGTTTCAACCGAGCCGCTAGAGGCATACGTCCATCCACCGGAGACAACGCAACCGCGTAAGTACTCTTCCGACTGACCATACGGCGGCAGAGCACACTGACAAGCGAGCCAGTCGACTATGCAGACCTCGTCACACTTGATCTCTCTCTCTTCGACAACCCAGAAGACAAAGCCAGACTAGTGAAACAATTGAAGCAAGCCGCGCATGAGGTTGGTAGGTTTCTCCTCTTCCAAAATGCATAAGATGGCTCCGGCCCAGGAAAGAGACCAAGCTAAGAAAGAGGATAGGGTTCTTCTCCATCACCAACTTCGGTCTCACCCAAGATCAGATTGACCAACAGTATGCCATCGGGCAAGAGTTCTACGCGTTGCCCTTCGAAGAACGATTGAAGTATCGCGCTCCGCTTGAAGAAGGGAACTACAATGGCTACCGCCCGCTCGGGAGCGTCGAGCTCGCCCCGGGCCTGCCAGACAAGGTGGAGATGTACAACCTGTTCAAGTTCATCCCACAGACGCAGCGCACCCAGCCGGACGTGATTCACCGGCACTGGAAGGAGATCGAGCAGGTTCATCGCCATATCCATGAGAAAGTAGCGCAGAAGATCCTCCGGCTCCTCGCAATTGTGCTGGAACTACCGGACGAAGAGGCTTTGGTCAGAGGCCATCGCTATGAGGCGAATTGCGACAGCGCGCTCCGCTATATGATGTCGAGGGCCAGGTCGGCGGAGGAGAATGAGCGGTGCAATCATATTTACACACGGGGCCATACAGATTTCGGAACACTGACGTTTGTCTTTCAGCAGCCAGTGGCAGCGTTGCAAGTCAAACGGTCGGCGGAGGCAGAGTGGCAGTGGCTGAGGATTCCCGAAGGCCATGCGGCGGTCAACATTGCCGATATTGTAGAGTTCCTATCAAATGGGTACTTGAAGAGTGGGGTCCATCGTGTCGTGTCTCCGCCAGAGGATCAAGTCGGGCTGGATCGTTTAGGACTGCTGTATTTTGTAAGACCGTCAGATGAGATGAATCTTGGGGCCATCGATAGTCCGCTGCTCAGGCGAATGGGGTATTACTCGCACGGAAGGCAAGATGAGAAGGAGGTAGCTATCCCTGCCACCGAATGGGTAAGGGCAAGGGTCAGGAAAAATTGGGTGAAGGCTGAGTCGAAAGAGGTTCTCTCGTTGGGTCGGTTTCAGACGCAGGTAGTGTACGATTAAGTCTCTTGCACTCGACTGTGTTAGGGTACGGTCTCAATGAAGGGAGGATCGCTCTGTATCCGAAAGTTATGACCAGCCTGAGCTTCTAGCTATGGGCTACACTGAGAGCGAAGCGCGGGGTAATATCAGCTCAGACCTTCCTCGTCAGCAGCTCGCGCCACGTGCCAAATCCGGGGTAGCAGCCATTAGTGGGGCGTGCGGGGGGCTTTAGCGTTAGAACACGAGAGACTGGCTGACAGCAAGCAGAGATACGACTCTACACAATGGTGCTCCACGGTAGACAAGCATTGCTACACTTCGGACCAAACCATGGGACATCATGCATGTCCCGGTCACAAGTGTGACATCCACAGTGAGCTGAGAACTCTGCAAGCATAATGGATGATGATAGCTCATGAACCAGTGCGCTCATGGATTCGAGGGTTAGAATGCCGAGATGTCACCATTCCCTCGTAGTCGCACCGCGGAAATCGGTTTTGTTCACAAGATATAGGGTTGAATCGCGATTCGAGTGTGCCAGGAATACCATCAGTGGGCGCGCACATTCTTCACGCTGGCGGTTGATGAGTCTTTCCACGCTGCGGTATTCGCTGCCTGATTTCCCAGGCTAATACATTCCAATGGTATCTCGCGTCCAATTGGAATCATCTTCGAGCCAACGCGGTAACATTGTGCTATTCGATCAGTAGCGAGATGTACCGGAAGAAGTGAAGTTGGAGTCCACGATGTTTCTTATCTAAATCTTGCTGGCGACTGGCCATCTCACGGAATGCTCGACGATCTCATCGGCCCGATAGCGAAGAGTATACATGAGAACTCATTGCCAGTCTGGGACAGCTGTAATGCAAGTTGATTCTCCACAACCTGTTTGTTGACAATAGAAGTTGAGCGGCATCGCTGCACCATGAGTCGTCTAGTGAACTGGTTGCCGACAGTGGCAGCATTTATCGCCTTCATACTGACACTAATATGCCTCTTCGCGGGGTCACAAACGAGTGTACTGCCCGACACCTCAATCCTAACAGTGAGTAAACCTGCCCTCATCGCCAAAGTGACACCAGATGAGCTCAAAGTTGAGACAAGCCTCTGACATCTACGACAGATCTATACCTCAAACATCAGCCAAAGCACGGAGATCGCTGGTTTCTACTCCATCCATGTCATGTCATACTGCGAGGGAGAACTGCGGGTGAATCACAAGGACTTTAACAACTGCTCCGATCGAACGTTGTTCTTTTCGTTTGACCCTGATGCTGCGATCCGGGCCGACACCGGGAATACTACCACCCCGGCGGACTTGGGGTGGCCTAGCGCGATCACCGACGACTTTTACGCCTTCCAGATGACATCGCGCAGTATGGGAATATTTTATTGTTTGGGAGCCGGAGTGGCCGCCCTGGCGCTGTTTGAAAGGGCATGGTGGGCGCTCAGACGCGGTCCGCGACAGACGGTAACGGAAGTGTCGTCCATGATGGTATGATCCCGCCCGTCTTGCGATATGTGGTCTCTCAACGGATGAACTGACCCGTGCGCAGTTGAGTTTCGTGATGCTTGGGATCTCGTCCATCATTGCGACCGTGATTGCATTCCAGTTTGTCAACCTGGTCAGCTACCATGGGCAGGACGCTGGAGTAACAGCGGAGTACGGGCCGCAATTCCTGAGTCTCACTTGGGCAGCAACCGGGCTGTATCTGATTGGGGGCACGACAGGGTTAGTGATGGTGTTGATCGACCGCAGTCGACCTCCAGTGGACTATGTTCCTGATGACGAGGATGGATTTGACGAAAGCCCTGACGATCTGCTGGAAGACCATGCCAAATCGGAAGTCCACAGTCACCACAGTGACGACTCGGTAACATTGCGTTCACACGAATAGCACGGGGCTACCAGGTACGGAGTAAGGAGCAACGCGGGAATATCCAACGGGACTGTAAAACGAATCGGAAGAGAGAGAAGAGAAGAAGGCGACAAGGGGGGCCGATCGGACGGATGGAAATGGGTGGAAAGTGAGGGAAAAACTCGATTGGGCCGGGCGGGAAACGGCGATGAAGCCATTGGTGTGTAACTGCAAATAATTAGTCCCATTGTATTATTACTACTTACTGTACTGTACTGAACATTGAACTTGCATTTGGTGTGCCTTTTCCTTTCTATTCTCATGTATGAAGCGAGAAATCGAGAAGGATCGAGAAAGCTGGGGGAGACAATAAGTGTCTAAAGACCCACATGGATTGTCTTCGAATTTTGGAAGATGGAATTGGACCGAGTCGATGAGGGCCGAATTCAACATGGAGCCAGCAATTGGAAAGACGAGGTGGAGGAGAGAATAACGTCACTAGGTGGGTGGGGGAGACCGAGAAGACCGAGAAGACCGAGACTACGACGTAAGTGTAAAGGAAGTTGTGTAGTGTGTGTGTAGTTCTCAGCCAGACTGACACCGGCAGCGGTGGGTCTTTCCTCCTCGTTTTCCCCAGCGGCATGACGATGTGATGTTTGATCGGACGACTAACTACCGCCCAACTGTCTGATGATGATGATGACATTCCACTCCTCCCTCTCACCACTAGCCAAAAATCATCCTCATCATTCCAAGAACATACGAGTAGGCCGTACTCGGGAAGAAATCTTCGTACCCCTCGTGTCCTTTGAATCCTCAAGCCGAGTTGTGCCAAGGGAAGACATTCCTATCCGGGCCGATGTACTCCGCAAACCCGGGGAAGTGCAGAATGACCAGGGTAGGGTGGTAGTAGTGGTAGTGTAGTACTAGCCTCCTAGGAGTCTAATATAGACCAGTCGTAGGAGACAAAGTAGTTTCAAGATCACTATCAACCTGACTGGTCGGGAGGGATCGGGAGACCGGCCGTGGCTGATTGGGGTTGAATACCTCCTTAAGGATGATTATGGAAGCATACCACCGGACAGAGTCAGAAGGATAGGTACATCCACCCTGCTAGCTGCAATCATGCAAGTGCATTGGCATCCATGATCATCATCCATGTGTAGTAAGTAGTTTAGGTAGAATATCCTGTTTAGGATCACCGCACGGTTGACGGTATGGTTGTTCGTTTGGTGTAGGGGTCGGTCCCCTCACGTCATCCTCGGATTGGTGAGTCTTGTTTGAGAGAGTTGAGGTCATTGTCCTGCTCCACCGACCAATGATCTATGCAATCTGGCTGCCAATTCCATGTCCCGCACGTACCGCGACTGAGCCTTCTCTATGGTTCTATCGTGCCTGCCTACTTGCCTACTTGCCTACTTGCCCGCTTCCCCAGTACCGTACCCCCAGTATGTGATGCTGCGCCCCTCTCTTTCCCCTCCCCTCCTTCCCCTCTTCGGTTTGCTCCTCCCTCCTTTGCGGCTTCATATAATACTCCTCTAATCCCCCCTCCTCAATCCTTTTGTTCTATTCCCTTTTCATTCATCATCAACATCAACCACTCTCACATCAATCATCCTCTACCTCCCGCATTCTCTCTTCCTATCAGAAGACCCCTCTCACCAAGACTACTACCTAGTACTTCCCCACTCTACATCTCTTGACTACTACCAATCATCCTCTACCCCTTATACCTCATCACAACACTTCATCATGGCTAAGAAGGCTATCCAATTCGGTGGTGGTAACATCGGTCGTGGCTTCGTTGCCGAGTTCCTCCATGAGGCTGGCTACGAGGTCGTCTTCGTTGATGTGATGGACCAAACCGTCAACGCCCTTCAGAACGCAGACTCGTACGAGGTCACTGAGGTTAGCGAGGAAGGTGAGAAGACCAAGACCATCACCAACTTCCGCGCCATCAACTCCAAGACCCACGAGAGCGATGTCATCCAAGAGATCGCCACTGCCGATGTGGTCACTTGCGCCGTCGGTCCCAACATTCTCAAGTTCATTGCCCCTGTGATTGCCAAGGGTATCGATGCGCGCACAATGGAGAAGCCCGTGGCTGTCATCGCCTGCGAGAACGCCATTGGTGCTACTGATACACTCCATGGTTTCATCAAGCAACACACCGCCGAAGATCGCGTCGAGACTCTGTATAACCGTGCCCAGTTCGCCAACTCGGCCATCGACCGTATTGTCCCCAACCAGCCTCCCAACGCCGGTCTCAACGTCCGCATCGAGAAGTTCTACGAATGGGTTGTCGAGAAGACTCCCTTTGGCGATGTCGGCCACCCAGATATCCCTGCCATTCATTGGGTTGACCACCTCGAGCCCTACATCGAACGCAAGCTGTTCACCGTCAACACTGGCCATGCTACCACAGCCTACTTTGGTCACATCCGCGGCAAGCGCATGATCGCCGAGGCATTGGCTGACCCGGAGATCAAGGAGATGGTGCACAAAGTCCTTGGCGAGACTGCCTCCCTCATTACCGACAAGCACGAGATATCAGACGAGGAGCAGAAGGAGTACGTTGACAAGATCATCCAGCGTATCTCCAACCCCTACTTGGAGGACAACGTTGATCGTGTGGGACGCGCTCCACTGCGCAAGCTCTCCCGCAAGGAGCGGTTCATCGGACCTGCTGCCCAGCTCGCCGAGCGCGGTCAGAAGTACGATGCCTTGATGGATGCGGTCGAGATGGCTCTGCGCTTCCAGAACGTGCCTGGTGACCAAGAGAGTGCTGAACTCGCCGACATCCTCAAGGAACAGTCCCCTGAGTCGGCCACCAGCCATCTAACCGGCCTGGAGGAGAAGCACCCTCTGTACCCCGCGGTCCTCGAACGGGTGCGCAAGGTGCAGGGAGTCAAGGTCTAAGCGGATCGAGTCTCCGACGGTTATCTCGCCGAAAATGAGGTACTTTGTTATGTTTTACGATGTTCACGAAGATCATTGCGAGTTCAGCAATTCCGAGTTGATCACGGATCTGGCATCTGGAAGCATGTACAACCGGTTCAGCCGCGGGACGGCGAAGAACCGTACGGGATATGGCGAACAAATGGTCGGCGCGAACGGAGCATGGGATACCAGCATAGGTTTTGCGTGTTTTCTTTTTTTACTTGTGATACTTCATGTACTTACCGAGCAATCAGCATTTCATATACCAAATGCATGAATAAGCTATGAACTTTTTTTGCGTCTCGTAGTTTGTAGATGTCTCGTGTAGTAACTACAACTTACTATCCACCCACTTGGGGTGTCTCTTCTCCACAAAGGCCCTCAGCCCCTCTTTGATATTCTCCCCGGCGTTCAATTTCTCCATCCACTCCTCCATCAGCTTGACCGTCGCCTCATCGGCGCCCTCCCGCTCCCACCCCCGATTCACGCCTGCGCGACTCACCACCACGGCATCGGGACTATTGGCCGCGATGCGCCCCGCGACCTCCAGGGCGCGGTGCACGACATCCCGCTCGGGCTCCCCCTCAGCATCGATCGGCACGACCTCGTTCACGAACCCCCACCGCAGCGCCTCGGCGGCACTCACCTTCCGGCCCGTGAGCACCATCTCCATCGCGCGCTGGCGGCCCACCGTCCGCACCAGCCGCGGCAGCGCCCCGGCCCACGCCACCACCCCGCGCGCCACCTCCGGGAACCCAAAGTAGGCCCGCTCCGACGCGATCACCAGGTCCGCGTTCACAGCCATCTCGCACCCGCCCCCGAGGCAGAGCCCGTTCACCGCCAGGATGATGGGCTTCTTACCCGTGCGCCGCGAGAGGCCCCCGAAGCCGGTGGCGGGGGCTATGGGGTTGGACTTTTGGGTTGGTGTGGTGGTGGTGGTGGTGGTTGAGAGCCATTCTTTGGAGGTTAGTTTGATTTCATGTTGGATTTTGAGGGATTGAGGGGGTTAGGGAGGGTTAAAGGGTTCCGGGGTGGGGGGATTGAAGGAGAACTTGGGGAGAAGGGCGACTCGACTCACCTTTCAAGTCGGCGCCAGCGCAAAACGCCTTCCCGCTGCCGGTGAGCACGCCCACCCGTAAGGCCGGGTTGGCGTCCATCCAGCGCCAGATGGCGTCGAGTTCGGCGTGGCCTTGCGTGTTGATGCAGTTGAGGTCGCGGGGTCGGTTGAGGGTGACGAGGAGGATGTGGGGGAGGGGGAAGGAGAGGGAGGCGTATTTGGCTGTTGGGGTGGTCATTCTCTTTGGGTGTTGGTTGGGGGTGGGGATTGGGATTGGGATTGAGATATTGTCTTGATTTGATTGTGTGGAGGAGGGGAGGACTGAGATTGGGATTGGTTTGATGTTGGTGTTGGTGGTGGTGGTTGTTGTTGTTCTAGGCTATGTAGTATTTATGGGGAAGCTTTCGGGAAGGGGATGTTGGAGACTCTGCCCTGGTGGAGTACGTACGGCAAGGTGGAGTTGCCGAGGTTCGACCTAGCTTACTTTTCACTCTCTGGGCTATGCTCGGTTTGTAGATTGAGGCCTCAAGCACTTATCATTATACGCAATTTACAGCGTGTTATGAGCTTGAAGAGTATTAAGCAGAGCGTTTGAAACAAAAACTCCAACAGATCTACTACACCATACACTGGTCAGATCAAGCTATGCATCATTCATATCGGTCAATACAATTCAAATCACATCAACATTCATCCTGCCCTTCCGAACGCCGCCCAACTCCGTTACAAAACACACACACACACACACACATCGGGTATTCGTGTAGCAAATCACCCCTTGTTGATCCAGCCACTGTGCACCATAAAGTCATAGATCCGACTGGTCTTGGCACTGTCGATCTGCGGAGTTGTCAGTACATTGTCGATGGCCAGAACGGCAGAGCATTTACCTTGCAAATGGTCCGTGCATCCTTCTTCTTCAAACTGCCCCCCTGCTTCATCGACTCTTTCAGCAGTGTCTCCTTGATGACCAAATATGGCTTTGGTTGAATATGAAGCACATTGCACACCTCTACCTCCTCCTTTGTCAGCAAATGCAGATCCGGAGCAGCTTCGTTCTCCAGCTTCCACGGAATCACCCCGTTCAGCGGCTGCACAATGAACTTCGTCTTCGCCGGCGGCGTCGGCGTGCTGATCCCGTCCCCGTTGGAGGCGAACATCCGATCAAAGTCGTTCATTGGCTGACTGGGAGGTTCGGGAGCTTTGGGGGCACCAGGGGTGCCTGAGGCTTTCTGCAGCCGCAGTGGCAGCTCTGGCGTGGTCAACTGACTAGCCGCCGACGGCTGTTCGGGCTGCTGTTGCTGCTTCGGCCGTGTGCTTGCGAATCGGTCAAATGAGCCTTGCGGCGCCATCCTCTGGGCGCGCTGTTGCTTCTCCTGCTCGTATTTCTCGCCACCTTTCAGATCTCCGATCCCCATCTGCCGCCATTCCTGTAGCTGCGCGATGGCCAGACGCAGGTTGTGCTCGTACTCCAGTCCCTTGTTGAACTCTTCAAAGTCATCGTGGTTCATCATCCGGGCAAACGGTTTTGCCTTGTTGAGCAGATCCCGTTCCTCTTTCGTGCGCTTCTTCTCTAGCGCCGTGTTCTTCCGGTACTCGAGCAGGTTGTGCTCAAAGAGGACCTTCTTGCGCTCCGTGCGCGCCGTCAAGCGCGAGTTGTAAATGTCCACCACCGTCATCTTCAACTCCATCTCCGCATCCAGCTCACCGTTCGCGGTCTCGCCCGCACCAGGCTCAAAGGTCATATGCTGCACCGCCTCTTCCGCATCGTTCATAAATTCGGTCTCGAACTCCAACCGACCCGGCATGTAACCCTGCACTTCGTGACACGCTGGAACACTAGCAGTGGGCTTCTGCTTGGGCGTGGTCGGGGGAGCGGCCTTAGCGGCCTCTTTGCGTTCCTCGATGCGTCGCTTCTTTCGCGACTGGAACTCTTCCTTGGATATGGAGTCGGACAGGCGGGTGTCGTCAGGATCGGCGCGCTCTGGAAGCGGAAAATTGGGGCTGTCAATGTATGTACTGATGTAGTGGTCTCGAACCTCCTCCTTGGTGCGGTAGCCTCCAATGTGATCGGCGATGTCGGCCCATGACCCCAGCCCGTAGATGTCAGCACCTTCCAGCAACAAAAGCTCCTCGTCAGCACCCCAGTCTTCCTGGAAGATGGGCACCGAGTTCTGCTCGATCACCTGGAATGGGTGTGTGGAAGGGTCATGGTTTTTAGATTTCTCTCCGGCTGCGAAACAGGGAACGCAGAGGTCATATTCGTGGCAGGAGGGATGGGCACAGGATACGCGAACCTACAAGGCGCGGACGAGGTTAGGTCTTGTAAACAACCACAGACGGCATACAGGCATATCTAAAAGATCAGAGGGGAGGGTATACCGTCGAAGTCACATCAACCGAGCAGATATCGCAATGATATTTGGTGCCTGCTTCGGTGCCGCGCGAGGCGGTCTTCTTCCGTATTACACCCATCGATCGCGGTTCCCTCTCATCCTCCACTGTTCCCGTGTCCGTTGCGACCACACCGACGCGCCCTCCAGTCCAGGACGAGGGCTATAGTTTATTTGAAGAAGAAAGCTTGCGCGGGGAATAGATTTGGGGGAGGGGACGTTGAGTTGCCGATAAGAGACCGCAGAGTGGTCGAGACCGCCCAAGGGATGCAGTGCTGTCCGAAAGGGTGTCTCCGCCGAGTTACCGGGTAGGAATGAGTAGGGAAATGCCGGGGAAACAGCGGGACAGCAAGTCACGTCAGATCGTATTGAGGGTCAGCGGAGTTCTTGGACAGGCGATCAGGTAGTACAGATAGCAAGGGTGGTATCGCTAACAAGAGGCCGAGGTGAGCGGGAAGTGCATCAGTGACTAGGTAGAGAGGTTGAGCTGAGTGAGGTCGGCAGTCGTTCCCCGTTCCAGTCCGGGATAGACGCTGGTGCACTGAGTGGTCGGATGAGCCTGAGGTGTGATTCCCGGGCCCCTCCCAACCCAGAGTAGGTAATTGGCGGACATGATCCAATTTGGGCGGTGGCTGAGTTACTGGGGCGAGTGCGCTGCCCGTTCCCTGTTTAGGACTAGCGGTGTGGTCAGGGGAGGGAAACGGAGTGGGTAAGTTGCACCGCCGTTGTGCGCGTTTCAGGAGAGCGTATGCCTCAGGTGTTAAAAGGTATTAAGGTGTCAAGATGTCAAGGTGTCAAGGTGTCAAGGTGTCAAGGTGTCAAGGTGTCAAAAGGTACATATTATGTACCTACTGCGGTGTTAAGGCAGCGATGTGCCTGACCCAATCATCTCTTTTCCACCCTCCACTTTTCTCCCACATCCAGTTCAGCCCTGAGGCCTCCCGTTCTGTCCCTGTTGTGCTAGAGCCAGAGTCTCATCCAACAAACCCCCCCCCCTCCCCTCTCCCCTCTTTCAAAGTCTCTCTCCCTCTTCTTCCCCTTCCCCATTTTCGCTCCTTCTTACTCGCTCGGTCTTACCAACCAAGTCTCTCTCTAAATTCTATCTTGTACTCATTTTGTGTCAACCTTTTTATTTGTCTCGTGTTAGGCTTGTATCTTTTCCTCCATCTTTGCACGTCGGAGGTTGGTTTCTTGTACAGTGGATAGGTAGTTTGTATCGCTGCCCGTGTTATCGCCAATCCTCCTCCTCCATTCTCCCCTCCCCCCCCCCCCTCCCCCCCTTCTTTCCCCCCCCCCCCTCTCTCCTCCTGCTGCTGACCGCTGTGGCTGTGGCGGTTCTGCATTCTATCAACTGCACTTGACTGGTCTGGCTCTTGCTCGTCTTTTGCTATTCCTAGGCCTCCTCCAGACTCCTTCTGGCCTTTCCTCCCTATTCTCATCCATACTTTTGTCTTTCCCCGTTTATAAACATCTGTCCCTGGACAGATCGGCTTCCCCTTCCTCCTCCTCGTCTCTTCTTCTCCTGATTACTCCCCTCACCACTTCCTCGCACCCACCGTCACAATGTCGTGGAAAATTACTAGAAGTATGTAAACCCCAAGGTGCTTTGGTGTTCCTATTTTCGATCATGCAGGCTAACGGACGTTCTTTCTCATCTTTCTTGGCCGACAGAACTAAAGGAAACCCACCTCGCTCCTTTGACCCAAACCTTCGGGCGGTCGTCCTCCACATCCACCATCAAGGGTGATTCCGGCGAAGAGACTCCTGTGGCCTCGCAAACGCCTTCGATTTCACCATCCATTTCCAACGGGATCAGTATGTTTGCTTTTGCCCACTGATTTTGCCTCCCCCTTTCCTCCGATCGCCGACCGTCCTAACAAAACCTACCGCTTTTAGATGCCTCGGAATCTCTGGTCTCCCCGCCCGTGGCCCCTGTCAAGCCCGGTATTTTGATTGTCACCCTCCATGAAGGTCGAGGTTTCGCTCTTTCGCCTCATTATCAACAAATCTTCAACTCGCACTTCCAGAGCAACAATGCCTATGGCATGCGTCCCAGTTCATCCTCCTCCCACTCCGCGCATGGCCAAGCCGGGTCCTTCGTACAAAGCGCCCGTCCACAGTCGACGAGCGGAGGCATCAATGCTGCCCCCACCATTCATGGTCGCTACTCCACCAAGTACCTTCCTTACGCTCTCTTGGATTTTGAGAAGAATCAGGTCTTCGTCGATGCCGTGTCTGGATCACCGGAAAACCCCCTCTGGGCGGGCGACAACACTGCTTACAAGTTCGACGTTTCGCGCAAAACCGAATTGAATGTCCAGCTCTATCTTCGTAACCCTGCTGCTCGCCCAGGTGCCGGTCGCAGTGAGGATATTTTCCTCGGTGCTGTCAAGGTTCATCCTCGTTTTGAGGAAGCTCTGCCACACGCAGAGGATCCCAAGAGTAAGAAGGACAACAAACAGCCACAAGAGCGTCAGCTTGGCCAACTTGGCGCGGAATGGTTGGATCTTCAATTCGGCTCCGGTTCCATTAAGGTTGGTGTCTCGTTCGTCGAGAACAAACACCGCAGCATGAAGCTGGAGGATTTCGAACTTCTCAAGGTCGTTGGTAAGGGTAGTTTTGGCAAGGTCATGCAGGTCATGAAGAAGGATACGGGTCGGATCTACGCCCTCAAGACCATTCGCAAAGCTCACATCATTTCCCGCTCCGAGGTGACACACACCCTGGCGGAGCGATCAGTGCTCGCACAGATCAACAATCCTTTCATTGTCCCGTTGAAGTTCTCCTTCCAGTCGCCGGAGAAATTGTATTTTGTTCTAGCCTTTGTCAACGGAGGTGAGCTGTTCCACCATCTTCAGCGGGAACAGCGGTTTGATATCAACCGCGCTCGGTTTTACACGGCTGAGCTTCTCTGTGCTTTGGAATGTCTGCACGGATTCAAGGTCATTTACCGTGATCTCAAGCCCGAGAACATTCTTCTCGATTACACTGGCCATATCGCGCTGTGCGACTTCGGTCTGTGTAAGTTGGACATGAAGGATGAGGATCGGACGAACAGTAAGGCTCCCCAGGAGTACGCACCTAACCTCAAATCGACTAACCAGTCTTGAAACAATAGCCTTCTGTGGTA